TGGAGGAAGGCATTCTTTATGTCAAGTTGAAGGAGAGGCCAATCATACATAACTGCCAAGGAAATTAGGACACGAACGGAATCAATTTTAGCCACCGGAGAGAATGTCTCCATGTAGTCCACACCATACAACTGTGAGTAACCTTTAGCAACAAGTCTGGCCTTCAGATGCTCCACAATACCATCTGGCAAGTATTTCACAGTATACACCCATTTACAGCCCACAACATGCTTCCCAAGTGGGTGAGTAGTAAGTTCCCACGTTTGAGTATGTTGAAGAGCAGAAAGTTCCTCCTCCATTTCCCGCCGCCATCCAGGTGAACTAAGAGCTTCTTGAACATTGTTAGGTATGGAAATAGAAGACAAAAGTGGTCGAATGGGATAGATGACTTTTTTCTCTTGTTCGAACCAGATCTTTATCTCCCTTTCTTCTCTTCTCTTCTTTTTCTTCTTCTTCTCTCTCTTTCTCTCTTTCTTTTACTTTGACTGTTACCAGACTAACAGGATTCAAGGGCAGGCTGAATCATAATACCCATGTTCCTTCTATGGGTGACTATCGTTATTTTTTCCTATTTGTAGATGATTATTCTCGATGTTCATGGGTATACTTGATAAGATCTCGTGATGAGGTACATGCTTTGGTGTGACAATTTCATCAAATGGTTTTGATGCAGTTTGGAGTATGGGCCAAGGTGTTCAGATCAGATAATGCTAGGGAATATCTTGAAAAAGACCTGACATCCTACTTATTAGAGCATAAAGTAATTCATTAGGGCAGTTGTTCATATACTCCACAAAAAAATGATGTAGCAGAAAGGAAGAACAAACATATTGTGGAAGTGGCAAGAAATATTATGTTGAGCTCCACGATTCCAGTTCATTTTTGGGGTGATGCAGTTCTCTTGGTAGTCTTCTTGATTAATAGGACCCTCTCGTGTTCTTGGATACACTATTCCTTTTAGCCTTCTTTGTTCTAAAGGGGAGATGTTTCATGTTCCTTTGAGGGTGTTTGGATATGTATGCTTTGTCCATATCCTTGATACTCACCGCTTGAAATTAGACCCTAAAGCAAAGAAGTATATATTCCTTGGGTATGCAAGAAATTAGAAGGGGTATTTTTGTTATGATCTGGTGTTAGGAAGTCATTGCTACCATGAATGTCACTTTCTTTGAGTCCACACCTTTCGTTTTGGGTAGCGCTTTTCATGAGGAGTGTTTTTGGGGAGGAAATGAGCAACCTACACCACTTCCTATTCCAACTCCTTTACCTACTGTAGTGTATGGCCCACATCAGCACCTATGGAAACAAAGGGGGGTTGGTTCCACAACAGAGGAACCCACACCACTTTTTATTGGCTCATATGAGATTCCAGGTTTGGCTGACATAGACTCAGGTATTCCTTTTGCTTCCATTGATGTTTCAGTTCCTATTGATATTACACCTGTGTCAAACACTATTGGAGATGACCTAGACCATCCTATTGCACTCCAAAAGGGGAGTTGAAGTCAACCCCAAATTGAGGAAAAATGTTGCTCCCTTAAGGAAAGTTGACTGCAAACCCTCTCCATTTGAAAATCTCTTACCTTTTCTCAACTCTCTTAAAACCCAAGCCTTGTGATTAGGCGAGTTTCAGACCTGATTTCCCTTCCTTTCTCTATAAACAAGTACCCAAATCGAGCTCAAAATAGGAGCTCGAAGCATTTTACCACCATTAAAGGGACCCTCATTTTTGTTTCTCATAAAAAACTCTCAAGTCTTGAACCCTTGAGCTTCTAATCTGCCCCAAAAAGGCTAAGAGACACTCTCCAACTTTGATTGACTATCAAATAGTTCAAACACCTCTTCTATTTCTTTCAGAAAATTGATTGAAAGCATCTTGCAAGTTCAAATCTTCTATCAAATGCCATCTTCAGCCTATACTAGCTAATGGATATCAATAGTCAAGGCTACATCCAAGAAGTAAGTTTCTTAACTTGTTTTTCTGTTTCTTAACTTGTTTTAGCTCATTCCATATTTTATTTAGGCTTGAAGAATGAGGTAGAGAGGAGAGGGGTTTGGGGAAACCAATACCCAACTCCTCATAACATCAAATTAGGCCAAGTCCCGAGGAAGTTTGGACTCTTCTCCTAAGGTTTTGGGGTTTTTACCTCTTTTTTCTTGAAGCTAATCCTTGGAAAATTAAGCCTAAACAACTCTCATATTGGGCTTTTACAACATCTTGGAGAGAGGGGTGCCTAACATCTTCCCTCTCCTAATCCATTTGGACCCAAGATCTCCTAGTTGAGTGCTTCTCCAATGATAAAATCGAGTCACTATCAAGAAAATAAAATCGATTTCTTAAAGCTAAAATGAGGGCCCATGTCCTCTAAAAATGGGTGGTGACTCCTTTTTCTTGAGCTGGCCATGAGCTTCTCGGAGCTCACAAGTAGTACTCACACCTACCACATAAGATTCCAGATGCATTCCTCTATTTTTCCCATTCGGCTCAAATTTTATGGGTGCCATCCTCAATCTCTCCCTTGTTATGAATTATCGAACCAGGGTATCTATCTAGATCAATATTAATCATATTTCACTACAGATAAATGATTAATCATTTACCTTTCCCATCCCACCATAAAGAACTTTAGAACTACTCTTCACGAACAATTACAAGAACTTCATCATTGATACATGTTGCTTTCATATGTACAGGTCTATGAATGAAATGCTTGTGATTTGTACAGGGTTCCTGCAGTCCTATGAAGTTTCTTTAGTTACAGAAATACAGTTTCTTCCCTGATGTAAGTTACTTTTATGTGGGGATTAACAAAACAGCAAAACTAAAGCTTGACGAGAGGGACTTTCTCTCTTGATGCATATTGAAAGTATGATCAGGTTTCCTTTTTTGTGGGGATTAACAGAATATTAACACCAGAAATTACTTTATGCTGATAAGCCACACAATAAATTATTATTTCTTACCATTAAAAGTTTTCAGTGATATAGACCTCATTAAATATCAGTCAATCAATATACAAGCAAAAATGATATAAGAAAATGCTCTTACTACTAAAGACAGCTAGATCACCAGTAAGGCCCACACTTTCAATGGTTTATCCCTACCTCTTTTGATGAGATATTTTAACAGATAGTATTGGATCTTTGAAGGGATAACTTTTAAAAAATCCAGCAGGAGAGGAAATGTTTGCTTGACACATCACAAAGAGCAAAATAGTTTTCTTCCATCTTGAAGATTATAGTTCCTCACCTAATTCTTTGTATGAATCCCAATTATATGACGACCCAAGAAAGTATTGATTCTCAATATAAATGAAATGTTGGGCAGCTCGGATGGCCTTTATATAAGCTGTGTGTATGCTCATGTCAATCAGAACATTCTTGCCACATACTAGGTTCTGTTGCATATAATATGGTAGTTATCAACTATAAGAACAGAATAGCTAGAAGGAAGCCATCACAAGAAGATGAACTCTATTTACTTCCTCTCACCTTATTTATAGCATCTTTTGGGTCCTTGGGAAAACCTTTCACGGAATTTGAATCAATTGAACGAAAAACCTAAGAGTTGAAAATCAGAAGAAGCATACCAAGTCTCAAAAATGAAATCAAATACATAAAATTCAATACTATGAGTCAACCAATGACCACTTTTACCTGAACATGCCAATTCTCTGGATCAGTCTCACTTAAGCAAGGAACATCAAGCATCCCAATGATGTCTGGAATTCTTTCTATTCTGAGCAAGGCATCATCAACTGGCTTTTTAAACCTTTTAATTCCCTCTGGTTTTGTTGCTTTCTGCCAACGCTCTTCAAAGTTAGTGAGGATGTCATAGGCTGCTGGACCATCTATTTTACAATGCAAATCATGCCATGGTTCTCTTGGACAACCAACAACTGGACCCTATTATTCAGTAATACAAATAAGTAAACCAAAAAAAAAAAAAAAACAGGAAAAGACACATAAATAACCTCACCAGATGATTTGGTGTGATGGTTTACTAAGTTCACATTACCAAGTTTTTCTAATAACATTTTCCATTGTTAGAACTGCACATTTAAGTGGAAGTATGCAAATTTCCCTTTGTTTTGGAACAATTTGTTATTGTAGGTAAAAGTTTTGGAATCTGAGCCAGGTTACAAGCCTCAGATTGTCATGTCACCTCAGGTGGATGCAAGGGATAAACCATGGAGTGTTTTCTTCAATGATTACAAGATCAACTTCTTCATGGCATGATGACTTGAGATTATGGCAGCATCATGACAGTAAACTAGTATTTAAGGTTCAGAAGAGGTTGTAGGATTGACAATTGAGAGGAAAAGAGGTTACTTGACCAGATCATGCTGTCATTTGTGAATTTTCCTTTAATAGGGCTTGGCATTCAGTAAGAGAGATCTCTTTGGGACATGGCACAATATTAGAAGCCTTAGATTCCCAGGAATGTCCTTGGCATTGAACCATGGTTAGCCCAGGATAGAAGAACGAGAGAAAAAATTTTATGCTGCTAGGATGGTGGCAAATGGCAATATTGCCTTCGTCAGTTTTTGACATGTAAGAAATCAAGATGGATCTTTAGCACTTTCCATCTTCTGGTATATAAATTGGAAAACCATAAATATGCATGAAGCTCACAGAAGTATTATGGGGTTACAAAGAGTATTGCAATAGGAATGCCAACTACTAACAGATTGCTATAATATAGAAGAAAACGTGGCAGGATGGTTACCGTGAAAGTAGGATTATGGTAGTCATCTTTATGCACTGTTTGTAATGTCCTCAATATGGGATGTTCTGGAGTATCATATCGCCCATCACATAAATCAAGTCCTCCAACAAAAGCTATGATCTTTCTTTTATTGTTACCAGCATCAGCATCTACAATAACAGTTTTTTGATGATGTGTATAGAGTGTCCCGGTTTCCTGACAATGAAAGTTTTTAAGGGAAAAAGTTCATTGCAAATTTATCACGTCTGGTACCAAAACTGGAATAATAATTTAATGAGAAATTTCATACTAATGAATGAAGAAGGAAAACCAAACATAAGCAAAATATTACATATCAACCATATTTTTTTTATCAGTAAATATGTGAACAAGGTGGATCTTTGTAACTTCTATGCGATTTATGGTGGCCTGAAAATATTGAATAGAATTAAAAATGTCTTTTTTTTTTCTCTTTTCGATCTGGCTGTCAACAAGGACTCACCTGGGATGCACCAGCCATTCCATGGAATATTCAACCTGCAGTTCTGCAGGTAAGAACCTGGATCTCCACTGGGGGAGAGATGACACATGATCATCAGAACAAGAGGTGACTAACTGCATTAAAAATGTCTTCAGCCAAATGGAAAATATGCAAAGGAAACATTAGTTTTAAATCTGACCATTTGTTTTTTAGTGGACCTTTAGTGCTTCAACTTAACATTGATGGCATCTTGATTCTTCATAATGGATAATGTCTTAAAGAATAGGGAAACGAATGTGGATTGTCTAGAGGAGTTTGAATTGACTTCCTCTTTATTCAAAATGTGTGTTGAGTGTGGGACATCTTCTATTCAAACATAACAATAGAAAACTATTCTCTATAAAATTTGCTGGGTACTTGATCATAGGAAGGAATCCTAGTCAAGCTCAAGTATTTGGCTTGAAATGTTGAACTTCCAGTTAAAACCTCCATGTCTTTTTTTTTTTTGCTAGAAAAAAAGATGTGGAACCACATCCAAGTGAAAGAAAATCCAGCAATCAGGAAATCAAATTGCATCAATATCTGCATATTGTATAAAATCTCCTAATTTTATAGACATTTGTTATCTCCTATTTGATAGGGAATTGGTATATTATATTGGGAGAAGACTCTGGGCTTTCAGCTTAAAAGTGCAGCTCAAACTGTCTATTTTTAAACAAAGAAAGATTCCAAAATCCTTACTGGGGTGCATAATATAGGTTCATTTCATTCACCAATTAAGAGCTATTCTTATATTGCAACTCTATCTTTTAATGTGTTGGGTGTTCTTTCATAGAATCTTAAAATACTAAAATCACAGGCAAGGAAGTTAGGGCATATCTGTAACCAAAAAGAACAGGAAAAGGCAATGCTTTATTGTTGGTATTGATTCTCATTTGAAGTACTCAATTGTTTTCATTAATAATTGATATGTTATTGAGAAAATAAATCATGGAAAATTGGCTTTCATTTTCAAGGCTTTTCTATACATGATATATTCCAATAAGTTGGTTTTCACTGCAACTTCAAGAGTATGACTATAGATGTCCAGAACTCCAGCAAAATATATAATACGATTTCATTAGGGGGTACCCAAATAACATTCAAAGGCCTCACCATTGAACACAATGAGCAAAAGGCCCACCTCTGGGCAACTACTAATTTGACCTATCCTCAAGAAATCCAGAAGTGTAAGATTTGACAACTTCTACATAACCTGAACTATCTGGAAAGAATTGTTGATAATCTGAACTATAATTGGTAGGGTACAAGATATGTAGAATCTTATCCTTGGAGAACAAATTATAGTTCTAAGTGTCCAGAATATTGCTGCATAAAATGCCAGATGCACCTTCTCTATGTGGATAACATTTTAGGTTTCATCCTTCAGGTTTCCAATCAAACTAAAACAGGCTTAACCCAAGACAAAGATGTCACTGAATTAATTCATGCACGATGTAGGGAATTATCTAATGTAGAAAACAATTAAAACTGTAGCATAACCAAGGATTCAAAGAAGATAAACAATTTACTCTAACCTGCTGTTTGGCCCAGCTGTGCCTTTTCCCAGCAGATCGGGGACAAAGGATCAGTTGCACTGAGGACTGCTTGAAAAAATGACGAGTCTCCTCGTCATGGGTTTGCATGAGTCCATCCTACATTCATTTACTTTGATGAGATTAGTAGATAAGAGATTGAAAATTTTTCTAATTGTAATGTAGAGTGATGACACTGGCATACAAGAAAGCACTTTATAACATCTTACAAATTGTTAGCAACAAAAATCAGAATTTCCAAATACATATTTAGAGCTACTAAGCTTATGACTACTCAGCAACAGAAAGCATATGGACAGAAAACAGAAGAAAACATACAAGTAGCCTAAATGTACTTTCCTTTCTCTGTTTTCAGTGAAAAATTCAGGCCACTAGTTCTAGGTTACTCTCACTCTAATGACTGCAATACAGACTGTCTCCTTGTGCACAGATATGTATGTATTACTGTTTTTTATCAGCAAGAAAATGAATTTTATTAATAAATGAGTGAAACAGGTTACAGAAAAACAGAAAGACAAACTATGCCCAACAACATATTATAAAACAGCCCAAAAAAGCTGCTGCCTGTAGGCCCCCTGTTTAGCTAAAGAGTTGAACACCCCATTGGCAGTCCTCCTAATCCAAGTAAAAGAGGCATTCAGCTCCCTTTCCAAGATCTCAATCTCCCTTAGCGAGTGCCTGTAAACCCAAGGAACATTACCCCTATTGGTAACCCAAGAGATCACCAATTGTGAGTCCCCTTCAACCTCCAAGTTTTTTAAATCAGCTTGCTTAGCAAGTTTTAGACCCTGTAGCAGCGCTAACAACTTAGCCTTTTTAGAGTCACCACCCCCCAAAGGACCTGAATACATTGCCAATACTTTGCTTGAAAGTATCTTTAAACACACCACCAACGCCTGCCAAACCCGGGTTTCCTATGGAGCTTCCATCAAAATTTAGCTTAATTTTGTTAGTACCTGGGGGCTTCCATGCCCTTACTATATCAGTCATTGAGAACTTTTGAAAGAGCTCAAGAGTTTTTACCCAATGTGCTACTCTTATCTTTATAATTTTCACAGTTTCTTCCTTTTGCTTGTTTAAATATCCTTGCATTCCATTCCTCCCAAACAGTCCACACCACCCACCCTAACTGATTTCCACATAGCCCGAACTCTTTCCATTGGCTGCCTTAAGAAGTTTGGACTGAAGAGACTCACTACATCCTGGGGAGAGCTCCACCCACAACGAAAGAGAGAACGAAAAGACTCCCAAACATGGAGCACAAAAGGACAAAAGATCAATAAATAGGGAAGGGATTCACCATTAGAAAAACAAAGAGAGCAAGCATGAGGGGATAGGCATTTATTTGGCCTCCTCTTTTGAAGCATGTCACAGGTGTTCACAAAGAGAGCAAGCATGAGGTTAGGTGCGTTAGCAAAAGGATTGGGCCTTTAACCTTGTTAGAATGCTCGAGTCAGGGGTATTTTGGTCATTCTGGTGTATCTT